AAGTTCAAGAAGATGAGGTTGGCACCTCCCTAAGGAATTCACGGTGTTGTGGCTGGCTGGCTGGCTTTGGGACTTGGGGTCAGTCTGAGGAGATTTTGTTTTGAGGGGGAAGCTAATAAACACAACAGAACTGTATTTGCATTGTCTCTTGGAGTTCTTTGGGCTGAACCTGACAAAACCTGAAAAAAGACACGGCTGCTTTCATTAGCAATGGAAAGATATATCCTTGCCTTTCCCCAAGATTTCCTGAGTGATTTTGAAGCATGCACAACCCTACCGATATACACTGCCCACCTGGAGAGAATTTTAGCCATAGAGGCGGAATATAAATACGGTGCAAGATTCCTTCCTTTGGCATAAAGCAATTTTAATTTTAGTTGCCTGAAAAAGCTGCTCTCTGTGGAATCTGCTGGCCCGCAGACTGATTACTGATCCAAATATGTCACATCTAATTTACATGCGACAACTTGCAGCCAGAGGAACAGAAGCTGAGTCAGCAGATGGTTGTCTGTTTGCTCAAACTGCTTGATTTTGTGACCATCGGCTGATGGTGGAAGCACAAACTGGATCCAGTTCAGAAGTGTTGCTATAGTCTCTGCGCCTTCCCGCGCTCCAGATTCGGGCACGCTTTTTGCAGGTGCCATCATTTGAAAAAGCACACAAAAGCCGTCCAGAACGCGTGCTCTATTTCTCTGAATTGTAGATCTTGTCGGGAGAGAGTGGCGTTAGGGTACGGGGGCAAAAAGTCAGGACGAGTCTGGCAGCCCCTTTCCTGACTAATACGTTTCATGAAAAGGCGGACGCTTTCATGAGCTCGCGGAAGCATCGGCCTTCGCGTGGAACGTGTGACCGTAGTCGGAAAAGGTGCTACCAGGTTCCTTCTGATCCATTTCTTTCAAGTAGATCTCTTCTGCTCAGAAGTCTGAGGACCTCAGATAGGAGCGTCCGGCACCCAACAAAAAGTTCAGGAAGATGCCCAGGCTGAAAAATCAATGATGCTTGGCCAATCTCCAAGTCTGAACGCGACGCGGATAATTTCATGGTAGAATGATCAGCCTTTTTCCCGAAGGAGATCTCTCAGGAGATTGCATTTGATCTGTCTCACCCACTTACAGTACTCATATCATTGGGCAGATTAAATTTTCTTAGCGTTCTCTAGAGCAGGGTTCCTCAACCTTGGCCACTTTAAGACGGGTGGACTTCAACTCCCAGAATTCCCCAGCTGGGGAATTCTGGGAGTTGAAGTCCACCCGTCTTAAAGTGGCCAAGGTTGAGGAACCCTGCTCTAGATGATTGAACTGAAATACTGAGAAAGGGGCTAGTGCGTTTTTTTGCAGAGGGCACAAACTACCCCTTCAGTCCAAAGGTCCGTTCAAAATTGGCCTGTCCAAATACACGGTTTGCCAAAAGCCTTCTTTGGAGAGCAAGGCGCATTTCCGCTCTTCTCGGCTTGCTTTTGACTTTTAGTCCTTCTTGCGTCAACCCAGCTCAGAGACGGGAAATTTCATTCCTGCCCACCGATCCTTTCTTTCCCCCGGCCAGGGAGACGACGAGAGAAATCCCTGTTTAATTTGGAGACAATAGGCTCTCTTGCCTGTTGCTGGTGGGCCTCTCGAAAGCCCCAGCTGGTTTTTTTTAATTTAGAAAGGATTAGAAAAGAGTACGAGCCATGAAGGATCAGAGGCATGGAAAAAGAATAAAAGACTCGCATACAAATAGTAAGATACAAGGAAATAAACATGGGATCTGAAACGTCAGGGAGATCACCGTTTTTCAACTTGTTAGCGACTCATTATAAAATGGGTCTCATCATTTTTTTAAAAGAAAAACTACACATCGCCGTTTAAACTAAAAATATCTGATTAACACAGTGTAAATCACTAACTAGAGTTCTAGGTGATAATAAATAAAATAAAATAAAATAAAATAAAATAAAATAAAATAAAAGAGAGCCAGTTTGGTGTAGTGGTGAAGGCACCAGGCTGGAAACCAGGACAGCAAGTTCTAGTCCCGCCTTGGGCACGAAGCCATCTGGGTGACCTCCGGCCAGTCACTTTCCCCCAGCCCCAGGAAGGAGGCAATGGCAAACCACTTCCGAAGTCTGCAGGGACTTGTCCAGGCAGTCTCCGAGAATCGGACAACTGAAAAACAGAGTTACAGCTATAATAAATCAGATCACCGCTAGAAATCAGATGCTTCAAGGGTTATTCAAATCATTTGATCTGCACCCAGAGGTGTCTGCAGGGCGTGGTCAAAAAAGTCAAGATGGCGCTGCAACGGGACCAAAGCTCTGCCTGTTTTTTATGTGTGACGAGGCCGAGCTTCGATCCCGCTGTTGTGGCCACCGTCTTGACTTCTTTGATGATATCCCACAGACACCCCTGTTTACGCAGTTAAAAAACAGAGCCAGGGTAGGGAATAACTTTGCCCCCAGGGTTATCGCTTCTCCAAGTTGGCTCTAAACGCAAGTGGAGCAAAAGGTTTGAGGAATGGGTTTTTTCCAGATTTTTTTCACGCTTAGCAGCCCAAACGATTGCCATTGCCATTTCCTTTTTTCTTTCCATCTTATCTCAAGCCGTGTTTGTTATACGTACGCTGATATAGCGTAGGCGGCAGCAACCTGTCTGAACTGAAAAATGAAGCAGGGCTGGCTGGGTCTGGTTAAGGCTAAGATGGAAGGCCACTGGGAGATTTTAGGGTTGGGAAGCTAGAAAAAACATCTCCGTCGAAAAGCCATCCTGCAAGAAAGCCCTCTCCAATCACCTCCGTAGCACTGCCTCGCAAACTCCACGAACGAGCAGTTCGTGAACTCCGAGCAGAGCTTAGACCAAACGTTTTAAAAAACCTTTTATTTAAACCAACATAGATGGTGTTTCTTCAGCATCCCTAAAGCTATCCGCATCAGACTTAGGACGGTTTGGCGCCAGGGGTTTGCATAATTCTCTCGGACGTTGTGAATTCCTTGTTCCTGACATGCCAGGGATTTTAAACCAATATTTTTCTACAGGTGTAACCCACAATAATACTAATAATACTGTAATAATAATCTGTCCCGTCCACAGCAGGCTCGGGCCCCAGGGAAGGATTCCAGAGAACAATAAGCGGAAATGTTTTGGCCCCGTGGAGTGTTTAAAAGATACAGCGAAGAGACGGGGGAACATTTGGGAACGCTTTTATCGATCGAGGTATTGTTCCAGTTTAAAGCAACTGAAATGGTTTCTCGAGGCCTTGCATTGTTTTCTCTGTTTTTCAGCCATTCTTCACCTGTTTCCTCCAAAATGCAGTGTTAGCAGGGCCTCGTAGAAGATGACATCTGAAATAAAGGCTGCTGCTTTTCAAAGGAGGTCTCATTGTACGGCTGCTGATAATAGGAACGTTTCAGAGGATCAGAGCCTGGGCACGTCTATAAAATTGTCCATGCGTGGACCTTGGTTGTATTTCCAAATACAATGCCGCCTTTAGTGTTACCCTGGATCCTTACTAATCGTCGCGGTAAATACTATCTTTGTACAAAATTGTGCTTGCCTTTTCAAAGAAAACGAAACTCTAAGGGAGCTAAATGCAACCTTCTTCCTTACGCGTCTCTCATCTGGAATGTTTTTCTGCATTTTGGTCCTTTCACGTTCCCTTTAGAAGTGCGTCGTTTGGATTAATATTTCTTAAAGAGTAACGCATCTCTGCCTTTTCCGTGTGAGTCGACCTGTAAGTAGCCGGTTAGTTTGCAAGGAATGGAGGGTGCATCGCTCGGCGCTCCGGGATAATGTTGACAACACAACAGGAGCTTTTGCGTGGCTGCTCCGTGGTGTTGGTGTAAGGGCGTGGTCGATTGTGTTGCCTTGTTCCCCCTTGGGAGAAAAGAGTGCACGTGGGGATTGTGCAAGGATGGGAACTGCTGTTTTGATTTCCTTAACTAGCACTTGCATTTTGCTCCCTCTGTAGTGTTTCAGGCACTGGAAAATTTCCTTAAGGTCTCTTTCCTCTTAACAGCTTTTGTGATTCTTCGTTGGCCGTTCAGGAATAATTGGACGGATGGACAGAAGTGCAAGGAACACCCAGCTGGAAGTGGTAGAACTGGGCCATTTGGTCAAAGCTAGGTCTAAGGCAGCTATGCTGGCTGGGGAATTCTGGGAGTTGAAGTCCACCCAGCTTAAACTGGCCAAGCTTGAAAAACACTGAACTAGATTAATCTGTTGTTTTGCTATTATGGAATGCACCTTAGAAAAGGAAGCGTTGTGATCTGAGTTGTACAATGACAATCTTCTCCTTTTTATCACAAATTTAGCAGGAAAAAGAGAAGTTCTTTGGTTATTAAAAGTAACATCCGTTTATTACCATATTACTACATCCTCGTTTTCCTGGTCTACAGAGGCGGGGAGCTAATTCAGGAATCAAATGGTTTTGAATATTTCAATTTTCCCGTCGTAATAGTTCTTGGCTGGGCTGCAAGTTATAGGAACACTGAAGCCGGCTATAAAGAATTGCCATAATACCCTTCTTTTATGGTGATTATTAAAAGTTGCATCACTAGAATTTTCAGCTGAGCACGGGTGTCTTATCGCAGCTCGCTTGCAGCTCTTGTCTTGGCTTTAATTAAAAAAATAACAGTCAGGAACAAAAATGCAGAAAAAGAAAAACATATATAGCATACAAGGGTTTGTAAGCCTAGTTTTTAAACAGTCATTAAACCGTGACTTCACGAAGTCATGCCCTTATGCTGATAAAGAAGTAGCCAAAAGCAACTCCATTAACTCTGCGTGGCTGTCTTTGAAACATCGAGCGGTGATCTTTCTGCTGTCCTCCCTACTCGAGAAATCCGTAATTTTTCTCACAGTTCACGTAATTCACATCTTTGAAGCATCTTGCTCTTTGCAACACCCTGTGAAGCAAACTTGCAGATTTATGGGGCAATCCTGGGCAAGCCCATCTCATAGGAGGATGCGTCACCCAGTTTCCACTTCCAGCATAACCAAGTTAGTGGCCAGCTCGTTCAAAAGTTTCCCTGGGCTGTCCAGTAAACACAAAACAGAATCTTTTGTTGAATTAATCTCTTCTGGGTCATTATTATCTTCATTATTGTTATTCACTTTGGGGCACATATAAAAGGTACAGAAAATGCCCCACGAGCCAGCCTGGTAACTTCCTCCGATGGTTTTAGAAGGCCAGTCCCCTGAAGGCAAGGATGCCCCCAAAAGAGTCGCCAGGGATGGTGCAATTGAAGCTCTGCGACGTGCCCCCAAAGCAGCTGCAGCTTCAATTGCACTGTCCTGGCCGCCATCTCGACTTTTTTGACCACAGCCTGCAGGTATCCCTCATCTGCAAGTGTTCCTTGCCCTCTGAAGTTGGTGACCCTTCTCTAGTTTTTCTCTCTGCCTGTTTCTGAAGCGCGAAGAACTATACCAGTAAAACGCCAACTGAAAAGCCTTGTTTAGCAGCGATGAAATATTATTCAGTGAGATTTTAAAGGGTCAGGCGATTCGACGAATTAGAGACGGAGTCCCCTGAACTTACCCTCCGTAATTAATGGCTGGAAAAAAGGCACTGTAGTTTTTCTTGCTCTGGGAGAGAGTAGAGTTGGGCAGCCAACTAGGATTATTTACTTCCTGGCCACAACCAGCCCGTTAGTTAGTTAGTTGTCTGGAAGGAGTTCTACAAATAAGGCACATGAGGAAGAGGAGGGTTGTGGCGGCCCTGTGGTTTCTTCTGTTTTATCGTCTTCTGCCTGGTCTTCCTGCAGAGTCATTTGTGCAGCTGGAAGGCTTTTGTTCTTCGATTTCCAAATAATTGCTCTCCATAATTGCAAGCAATAGTGGGCTCTTGCAAATCCAGACAGGAGCCATTCCTGCACGCTCCTTCTCCGTCCTTGGAGGGATCCTCAGTTTAACAGTGAGTCCTTTGGTTTTCCTCTTCTGTTCCTTGTGCTTGAAAAGACATTTAAACTCTAAATTTACATAAGAGTTACACTGAGGGGAGGACACTCGAGTTAGTTAGCACTGATTAGTTAACATTCCTCTGTTGACTTATGCTTGATTCTGGAGACAGAGCTCTGGCTGGATTGGAGACGTTTGCTTATAAGTGGCTACCTTATAGCCTTGACAGAAGAGCAATCTGTCCCAATTTGATCCCAGTCCTACCCTGCTGAGAACAAGCAGCTGAGATAGTTTAAAAATAAAATTGAGTGGACACAGTCACATTGTTTCATTGGCAAATATGGAAGTAGTTTGTTATTGCCATCGGGGAATTTTTTTTTTTAACTTCCCAGTCTAGATTTCTGAGTGGTCTTCCATCTAAGTACCGATCGGGTCCAACCCTGCTTCACTTTTTAAGATCAGCCACAGTTGGCTGGGACGTGGCTTCATCTGATGTTTTTTTGCTTCACAAGAACCCCAATAAAGACAGAATTACTGTGTTTTAATCTAAGCAGTTGCGTGCCTGTACATATGTGTGTGTGTGTGTGTTTTTAAGTTCACCCATCATTCTTCCACAAACACTTGTGCTTCTTTTCATGCTAAGGCAAAGATGGCCGAATCGACTTTGAAAGTTTTGCTTCCAAAATTTGATTTCTGGGACGGTTCATTGACGGATGGAAATCAAAACTTGATGTGCCATTCTGAACCGCTGGAAATACATGTCTGTTGTTGTTATTCACCATCCATGTAATACTTTTCAGTGACTGGACCTGGAGAACTTCCCATTTAAACTTCGTCAGAGGCGAAAAGAAAAGAAAAAAGCTAAAATGGGGAGCAAAGAATGATTGCAGAGAAGGAAGGTTCATGGATTTAGGTTTGTCGCAATGATGGGGATAATGCTAAAATGACTTTTAAAAATGTTTTAGGAGGTGTTTGGGCGAAGGTGGGCCTCATTCATCCGATTCATTCAAGGCCCTCAAAGGGCTGTGAAGTCAACAGCTGCCATTAGCAAGGCGGTGAGAGAGACGCAGAGCTCACAGAAGTGCCAAATTCAGCACGGTGGTCGTGTCCATTTACATAAATGTCAGTGCTAATCACTCTGAAGTTGATATGGAGAAATTTGTGACAAAGCCAACCGCTCGGTTTTACTTCCTGTTTATAAGTAGCCTTGCCACTTGCGCGTTGAAATTTCTAGATAGCCAGGGACGCTGATTCTTGCTTATTCCCGTCAAATTGCTTGAAACGGAGAACGCATCAGAAAAACTACAGTAAAAGCAATAACACTCGTTCCTATTGTCAGCGTTGCCACTGATAAAACAGCAAAGTTCAGTGCTTTGATTCTCCATAAATCAAATCCTTTGTTTGCATCTGCTTCATATGTTATTTTTCCCCCCCCCCAAAATGGGTTGTTTATACATGCCATTCTAATTGACCATAAAACTGAGATCTTTCTGAGTAGGTAAGTCCTCCATCACGGCTTGATTTACGCAGAGGGCACTGGTACCCCATAATTAGCTCCTCTATTCAGTAGCTTCCTAACAGCTGCTGTTTTCCAATACTGTGAAGTTCAGACCTTGGACCAGAAATAACTGCAGCTAAAATTAAATAGTAGTTATCATCTGGCTTCTTTTGAACATCCAGATTACCATTCATAGCCGCTCATTTGTAGGGACAATGTAGAAAACAGCTGCATTTCATGTTCAGGGACCGTTGGAGTTAAACGGCAGGATCTTTAGATTGCTGTGAAATGGAACTTGCTCTCGTTTGCTAAGATGATGTTGTATCCTGTGATTTTTGGAAAGGAGGGGAGGAGAGTTACGTTTCAGAGCTGAATAGTCAACTTTGGGTTCTGTAGTAAGATGGAAGGGCCGATTCCTGTGAAGACGTCTCCGTGTGTTTCCCGGAAAAATCTTCCCGTCGGGACGATGATCATTGATGAGGATGATGTCTGCACAGTGGCGGAGACAAATGGCTTTTATTTCTCCATTTGATATCCTGCTCTTCTTGATAATAGTTCCAGGATGTTTGACAGGGTCAAAAGGACCAAAATGGACCTGTAGGAAGGGTGACACATGATCCCTAGAGACGGATGGGTCAGGATGGCTTCCTTGTGCAATCTCCATCGAGCGCTGTCAATGGAGCTCCATGGCTTTGCCAGCTCCTCTGCCCATTCCTGAGGACACCGACAGGGTTTTTTCATATGTGCCATGCCCGGACAGCCTCGTGACCCCCTTGTGATCTTGGGTTAGCTGGTGGTCTGAGAAAGGCCAGCCGCCTCCTCTAGAAATGCCCCTTGACGGCCTGCTGAATACCACCCTGACTGCGGCATAGTCTTCTGCCCGCTTCCCTGGGGTATCGTGTCTCGATGGGAGTGGGTATCCTGCAGGCCTGCCTTCCACCGTCACGGGCATTTGACCAGCAGTGGTTTAATCTTATCAGCAGATTGGCAGCAGGAACCTCTGTTCATGCTCAGAGAGAATGGCAGCTATTGAGCTCCTGGGCAAAGCATCCATTCTTCTTGAATTTCACTCAGCCATGCCAGGGGTGTCTGCTTTACACCCCTCACCTCTGCTGGGACTTGCCCTCGCTTCTCGTGTCACCGTGACCAAATTAACCCAGGCTCGCAGGTCAGGTTCTGCCGTGCCCCTCTCCGTCCTCTTCAGACTGGCAGCTCTGCCCTCTGGCAGCGGGCAGCCTTATGCGCCAGGGGGCTGGAATGGCAGCTCTGCTTTGTAGCAAACGCAAGAAACCAGGAGGTAGGAAGAGCTACGTGTGAATGCCTGCTTCGGTTTGTGTTACCTGCACGAGGGAGGTCTTGCAGACCCCTGGACCTTTCGCTGCCAGCGCTGGTGGTCATATGAACAACTAAAGCCTGGGCAGACTTGGCAAACGGGTGGCGGGGGGAGAACATAGTTGCATTTCTCTGCCCCCCCCCACAAGCCCATTCTAGGATAGTAGCAAGAAGAGGATGGTTATGTTGTGATTTATTTTTAGTTCCACATTCTTGATTCCGCTCCTGAGCGTGGAGGCTGTGTTGGGAAATACTGGGCGCTGCTGTTTATACCGTGCAGAGGGAAGGAAAAGCTGAAAGGATTTTCATGTTTTTCGACCCTTGAGAAATGAGTTTGCTGAAAATGCAGCATTATCAGAGCCTTTGACCAGGTTTTGGAGTGATATAAGGAGGCATGATGACGTCCCTTCGATAGGGATTGTGCTCAGCTGTTTTTAAGTGGCAATGGGAACTGTGTGATTCTGATTCCAAGAACGTGCAGAGAACCCGTCACAGGTTTTCACCTGCAGAGAGCATTAATAGCAGCTGAGTCCTTTGTGACATCAGGTCCTGCAAATGTCTTGGACCACAGTTGCCATCGTCCCCAGGCTAGTGGCTGTGCGGGGTGTGGTGTTACAGTCTAAGCTGGAGAAGGCTGTCTTCAACTTACACAACCATACTTGGTTTATTGACCACCCACCTAATTGTGGTCGATTTAAGCTGTGCCAGACTGCAAAGCACGGCGCAGTCCTATTAAGTAAGAGGAGCAGGAATTAATTTAAAAACCTTGGCCAACTCCACCTTCACTGCGTTCAGTTTAGAAGCATAGGACTTTCCGTGTATTTCCTTTCTCGGTCGGTTTGGGGCTGCGAGCAAGTTGTTTCTCGAGGTTTTGTTCCATGCAAGAAAAATGGAAGGAGGGAGATCCCCGGTCAGTCCTGGAATTAGGATGACAAAACAGGGGCACCGGGGTGGGGTGGGGGATAAAAAAAAATCAAGATGGCAGCTGCAATTGAAGCTTCACCTCTTTTTTATGTGCGTATCGGCCAACAAACGGCCTTTTTAGACCCCCCTCCACCAACGGATGCCCCCGTGGCAGAGTCCGGCCAGAGGGTGAAGCCACAGCAACATGATCTGGTGGCTCCATCTGAAGAGAAGAGCTGGGGACAGCCTGGAGGAGGCAGGGGCGGAATCAGAAGGATCCACGCGGGGTTGAGGACAATCCACCTTTGTTCTGGTGTTTCCAGGTTTTTGAGAGTTGGCCTGCCACAGCTGTTTTACTGGCCAGAACACAATAGTTGTTGCTTTAGCAGGAGACAAAGAGGTCCATTTTATTCAAGGCCTCCAGGTTTTATTTCATCTGGCACCTGTTTTAAGGCTGAGTGAGTTACACGGCCAGTGCAGCCAACAGGATTGGCTCTGGTGGTCTCTGCCTCATTCTTGAAGAATCCAGAAATGCTTCGCCTCCAGCCCCAATTTGGGACGGGCCCACATTTTTGGAGAATCGTTAGAAAACCTGCTGCTTAAATCATTGTGCACTAATTCCTGGGAAAAGTTTCTTTGGCATATTCAGCATGGCTGTTCCTCTTCTGTTTTAAGAGTTATAATTCTCAGTCATTCAGCATTTGGGAATCTCATATTATTGCAAGACAGGTAGTCCCCGGGTGACAGACGACCCATAGTTAAGAACCGAGCCCATTGTAGAAATAGTGTAGGGAGATGGGCAGTGACAAATGTGAAATATAAATAAATAAGTAAAATTTGAGTTAAATACACAGTGGTTCGAGTTAATTACTGTTTATACAGTGTTATACAATAATACTGTTCGGGCTTACGTACAAATTGGACACAAGGACAGACCTCGGGAACGGAACTCGTTCTTCAACTGGGGACCCCCGTAGCCTTCTGCTCTTTCAGTCGATTAAGTGGCAAAATTAAGGGCAGAACCATGGCTTGTTCCTCCCTTGTGTTTCAGTAAGAAAAGAGGAAGATATGGTGACATTAAAACAATGTTCTAATTATTTGGAGGAAACTGGATTGCTTAATATGCCCACCCCTTTCACGTGCTGCCCACTTACACGCTTAGTGTGTGGCTAGAAGACCTTTGCCCTTGGTTCAAGGTTATGAAGGTGCCTAGAACCATATGTGGTTCAGAAGCAGAACCTGAGATATTCAATTTCTCTCCACCGTATGAGGGTTACAATTATTTGCATTTGACTATCTCTCCAATACGTTATCTTGATTATTACAGTCACTTGAGGCAGAATGAAAAGAGGTAAAATAAAAATTGGAGGGGGGGGGGGAACCCTTCAAAAATTGCAGACAGTGAATAGTTGCGGACTGTAGTAAATAGCTACCCTAAAACGTTGGGGGTGTTTGGCCTAACTTCAGTCAATCTATCCAACCCAAGCAAAGAGAGATACAGCCTATAAAAGTAAATGTGAATCAAATGGTCAAGCTATATATAGTTACCCAATGTTTGCTGTTTCTCCTTTCTTTCAGTGTCTGACCTGCAAGAAGAGGGTAAAAATGCTATCAATGCACCGATGTCCCCTGCTACAACCGATCTCCATCCAGAAGATACATTACTAGGTATGGTATGAGTGCCACGTCACAGACTTACGGTGTAAACGAAAGAGTTTTGGGTTTTATGTGCTGGTTGGGGAGGAGGGATGATGTGAGGCTGCAGGGTCCCATCTCAAGCTGAAGTTGTGCTTGAGGCTTCTGAACTAAAATTAACAGTTCATTAAAATAAGAACTGGTGTCTTCATACGTGCTTTTCCCCCACCATGGAACCCAAAATGATTCTTTTCTTGCTGACCTTACGCAGATCTGGACCAGAAATACTCTAAATTAGGGCTCGCCAACATTGAAATTATTTTCAAAATGTGTGAGTTTTCTACAACTTCATTTGGATTTGGGTTAAGGGCCTTTGAAGCCATACTCTGATCGCAGGTCCTCTGCAGAAGCAAAGCTTCTGGTGACACGTGTCTTGTCCAGTATTTAATCCTGGGTAAAAGTGCAGGCTGGTGTCTATTATGGAGATGTGGCTGGAGGAAGAGGATGCATTTTTTTCTCTTCCTGCTCCGCCCCTCCCTTGCCCTTGGAAAACCCCTGTTTTGAGAGTTACCAGGGTCAACTTTTCTGCAGGCAACCCAGTGTTGCACAGCACATGATCCAAAGGCCCAGTTCACCAAGAGTGTGTCTGTTCATCCTCTGAGGAAATCAACGCCATGCAACCCTTCACGTGGTGCCTTCTGAGATAATTGGATGTTCTTTTCAAGTTCGTGCAAATGACTAGCTTTTTGGCATTTATGAATCAGATGGCAGCTGATGTCTTTTAATAGCGATTTCTGAAGCAGTGTGCTTGTGTGCATGTCTTTGTGTTACGATGGCTTTAATGAAAGCCTTCCTTTTGAAATTGCCAGAGGAAAATGAAGAACGTACCATGATAGATCCCACTTCAAAGGAGGATGCCAAGTTTAAAGAACTTATCAAGGTAAGGAACACATTAATATGGAGTTTTGTCTGTCTTTGTTGTAGTTTACCTTAAGATGAAAGAGTTTTGATCTTGCAATTTTTGGCAGCGCAGGAAAATGGCTGCTATCTCTCCCTAGGAAATACGTTTGGAGAAACTATCACTGGAGAAGCCAGTACAGAGTAATAAATTTTAAATAGAAAATCCACTGTATTTCTAGTTCACATTTTTATCTAAGAAGGAAGCTTAGCACAAATGATACACGAGCATGCCTTAAAAATGAACAGTAGGAGTAAAATCCAAGAGGAAAGAAATCCTTAAATCAAAAGCTTAAGTTAAAAATAGCATCTGATCTGACATCTTAATATTTTCAGAAAAGCCACCTTTAACTATTCTTTCTCCATCCTTCTCTTAATATTGGGAAGTGCTGAGCTGTGGTAGATCTTCCCTTGTATTTCTCTGGGGAGGTTTGGGAATTCGAACTGTGGTAATAGACATTATGTTTATGGTGCCAATGTTGGAAATGTTGCATTTTCTTCTCTGCTGATTTACAGTGCAATTATAGGTAGGTATGTTGCAGAAGAAATCTCCCTTAGTTGGAGGGAAGTCCAGCAAGAAAATCTTATGCTGAGTGGACAGATAATGGGCGTGTCAAGTAGATATACGTTTGGCTGAAAAAGGCTAGAAAAATGCTTAAAAAATCAATTTCCCAGGATCATTGACAACCCTGTTTTTGCCTGTCAGTCCAGGAAACTGGATCGAAGGCTAACCATGAAGACGTCCACAGGGAGTGATCAAAATCTGCAAGATGGTGGATGTGAGGTCCCATTTGAAGCCCCGCCCTTTTTGCACCTTCAGAAGGGGCACGGCTTCAGGTGTGAAGCTGCACCTACCACCTTGTAACCTTCAACGAGCACACCTTGTCGAAATAGGAGGAAGGAGTATTAGGTACGTCCACTGCTTTGAGTTACGTATAAAAACAATATCGGCAAGATAAAAAATCTAAAAAAAAACCCCACCTCCCCTTGGTATCCTTAATTAACAGCGTAAGTATCCCACCTACATTTGGATTGTTTCTGTACGTTTCTTGACGGGATTGCTTCTGTGCAGAAGCATCACTCAAATAATTGTCATTTTAGCAGCGTATCTGATGTTCCGCTGCTTCTGGAGTGCGTCCATCAAATCCTGAAGTGCATTCCCCAGCTTGTTATGGATTGGACCTGAAATACATCCAGTCATTTGGGTAGAGCATTATTAATAGGCAATAGTCTATATTAATAGTTTACCCAAGAGAATTTTCCCCAAGTAGAGTTATATGCTGGATCATCTCTTTCCTAACTAATCAGTGGGTAGGTTATTTTTCAATAAATGCTCCTTTGTGAAGGAAAGGCGTCACCGTAATAACTTGCAGTTTATTACCAACTCTCCTTTTAGAAAGAATAAACGTCAACTTACAAAAGGCATATCTGAGGATTAAGAGTGCGCCTGGAAAAAATTGATATAAGATAGTGACATGTTCCAAAGTAGGTTTGGAAATATGGTCCAGGGTTCACAAAGCTCGATCGGAACTGAAGCATTAGATGAATTTGGAAATGTTGGAAAGGTGAATACATCACTATAAGATCAATTGAGGAAGTCCAGTGAGGTTCAGAGAGAAAATAACCTCACTAGGATATAGCAAACAACATGCCAGCATAGCTAGAGTGTTTGTCTTAGCTAAGATGCCTTAAGAAGAACAACTGGATAATTTAAAACCAAGTAGCATCAACTGAACTATTGATGATTCATAGAATGTATAAAGCAACTTTACTCTATGAATGCCTCAGTAGATTTGCCACTCTTTTTTTCCTTTTTATTATATTGCAATCCATGACACAATATATTGTTTTGATACAATGACATTTATACAATGTTAATTAAAATGTATTGACAATCTCTTGTTTAGATAACTTAGAGTATTGGCAATAAGGAAATATTCTATCACTATTTGTTACAATTTAGAATGATGATATTACAAGCATAAAATTATTTGACTTTTTCATTCTAAATTTAATATAGCCTTTAAAAAAAAAAAGAAATCGTTGCAGATTCCATCAAAGTATTTATTACACCATAAGGTTTTGGTCTTGAGTTGATTACTTACAAATTTAACAAGAATTATAATACCGAAAAATAATTTAAAAAAGGAAAAAGAAAAAGAACTATTGGGTTTCTAACTTCCCCCTTTTTTACATCTGCTAATTTACAATATTGTAGAAATGTTAGCCCCCTTAGAAGCCAGACTGTAAGTGATTATATTTGCCATGCTGTGTGATGTTTTGTATGTAAGGGAACCATTCTTGCTTAAATTTAGTTAAACTTCTATTGTGTATACATGCTGTTATTTTTGCCATTGCTGCATATTCTCCAAAGTTAAGTTCCCAATCAGATACTGTTGGAATTATATCTTTCTTCCACCCTTGGGCAAAATTTATTCCCCCTGCTGTAAGCATTTATCTCATTAAGTCATGACATTTCTCACTGATTTTTTCTGAGATTATACCTAATAAAAATGTGGTTTCATTTCAAATGTAAATTCCAAAATTTTCTGCATTGTATTATGTATATCTTTCCAGGACTTTTGGTTTGTTTTTTTTTAACACATCCATCCCGTGTGATGAAACATTCTTTCTGTTTATGACGTTTTCAACAATTATTACTGTATGATTTGTCTCTCTTGATATTATCAGTGAAATTGTATACTATCTGTAGAACATTTTTAGCAGTTTTCTTTTAAGTTGTATGTTGGTGTAAATTTTATAGATTTAATCCATAATTCTTCCATTGAATTATTACTGAATTCTTCCACTGAACAATTCTGTTGTTACCGTTCTTAAGGTGCCACAAAACCGTTTTTTAAATTTTATTATTTGCAAAAATAAAAAGAAGGAAGCATTTACATGAATATTCAGCACTCATAGACTGTTACATATTTATTCATATCAGTATTATGGAATTAATCTGTTTACATTTAGATTAGTTAATCTGACTTTACAGGAAAATAAACAAAAGATTAAATATACAGAATAATATAAGCACGTTAAATTTCTAAATAGTTTTTGAGGGTATTAAAAGCAATATTCATAAAGACTCTATCCTCCAGTTGGACGCAGTATTATTTGGAGGACTTGAATCATTTTCGTCCCCTTTCTTCATTGTCCAGGTCTTGATTGACTGGATAAATGATGTCCTGGTTGAAGAAAGGATCATTGTCAAGCAGCTTGAAGAAGACGTCTACGATGGGCAGGTGCTACAGAAGTTGTTAGGTGAGGGGTTATGTGGATGAAAAATGGCGGATAAGGTGTTGGGCTGAATGAGGGAAACCCATTCATCTTGGCTTACATCTTGGCTTAATTATATTCCCGTATGAAATGGCCTTTGGCAGAACACCATGTTCAATCCAAGCTACTTCACTAGACTCAAAAGGGATCCTATGCTGAGGTCCTTGAAGAAGGGGCAGGAATGGATGTGAACTTGGCAAACAAGCGGAGTGACTTGTTAACTCCTTTTAAAGCAAACAAACCACATCAATGAGCGACTAACACTGTTAGCCGAGGGACTGGTTGTTTTACTCTCATAACATTGTTATCCATGTTACTACCAATAGATAGATAGATAGATAGATAGATAGATAGATAGATAGATAGATAGATAGATGGATGGATGGATGGATGGATGGATGGATGGATGGATGGATGGATGG